GTGGCTGGGCTGGAACAGTTGCGGAGTTTGAATACCCAGTACTCCTTGGCAGTGACAAAGAAGTTCCAAGGCAGTAGGCCACCAATGCCCAAGCTGAAGAAGATGATGTAGGCACCATGGAAGTGGTCCTCGGGCCTTTGTAGGACAGGTGGCGGGTGGTCCAGCAGCTTCTCAAGCAGCGCCTCCTCATCTGCTAGGGTGGAGGGGCTTGCAGTTCTGTAGGTGGAGTTTGAACTGTGATGGAAGTTGTCCTCCGAGACAATGGCCACTGTTGAAGCAGCAAGAGAAACAAAAAGAGGACAGGTGGTGAGAAACAGGCCGATCACAGCTGGAGACTCACCCATCCTACCCTGTTGCCCCCCAAGCCTGGGGTCTCAAGGGCCACCGAAACACAGCAATAAAGGTCAGAGAAAAGCAAGATGTCAGAACTGTAAATAACCTCAGGCAGGGTCACTCCACTCGGGCAAGTCCCTCTTTGGGGACGGCACAGGTGCAAGTATGGGGCCGGCTGGGAGGAAGCCAGTAAGGCAGACCAGAGACTGTGGTAAACAATTCAGGTAGACAAACTGGGTCTCAAAGATGTAAAATTTCTCTGCAGTCACATAAAAAGGAATTAGGCCATGATGTATACTCTCTATACTCTTTTCAATGTTGTAAGAAAAGTAAAGAGTAGGGAAGTGTGTCGAATACGCCACTGTTTGTGCAGGTATGTGGTGGACAGGGAGGAGAATATACACAGTGTGTGTGTGTGTGTGTGTGTGTGTGTATCTTCTAAGACACATAAGACATTTCATTTCTCAGAGTGGTTTTTCCTGAGAAGGGACAGGGAAGGAGAGGACTTCACTGCATATTCTTTTGTGACTTTTAAATTTTAAGTGATATAAATTTATTTCCCATCGCCAAATAAAATGATAAAGGCATTAAAATTCAATTCAATTACTTTTATTTGCCCAGAGATGACTCCAGAAGCCATGCCCTCGTTTCGTTTGTGGGAAAAGAGAGATCCAAAGAGCAGAAGATCCCAGAGCAGTTAAGTGGCCAAGTCTAGGCCTGCAGTTCCTGCCTGTTCACCACATCCCACCAGGAGAAAGCCACCCCAAATCCGCGGTAGCCCCTCAGACAAAGGGGAGACTCTAAGTTGCCAGTAATTGTTGCCAATATGCCCACAGTCAAGTCCTGCTGGTCTGAGCCTCAGTTTCCCCATCTGCAAACCCAAGGGAAGCCTCTCTGCAATGTTTTTGCAATAACTGGCTGGCAAAAACAAACATCAGCCTCTTCCTCAGCATCCTGGGCTTTGTCACCTGGCTGAATCTGGCTGTGAGGTAGCATGCCTACTTCTGTGCCCTATGTAGCACCCAGGATGTGGCAGCAGCTTGGTAAATGGAAACAGTTCCCTAATGCTGAGGATGGGACACTCCAGTTCCTTCTGCAGGAGCTTCTTCCCCTAACCCATAAATCAAAAAATAAATGCATTTCAGCTCACATAAGAGGCTAAGCCTAATTCAGCATTTTCCCCTGGTTATCTGGGCATAGCACTTAGCTGCTATTTTAGGAGCGCGTCACGATATTCCTCAGAATTAGGCAGAACAGGAATCATTGCCTCATTTCTCCATATGTAAAGAATATGGCCATAAAGGTACTTTATTTGTCCTGTCAAGACACAGGACTTTTCTCCCCTACCCCTCATTTAATTGACAGTCAATTAAATTTAGACCGGACAGACTAGTAACAGGAAGAACATGCTTAATTATATACACATGGAAAATCTACATGGATGTAAATTCTAAAGTATATGAAGAAAATGAGGGTATTTATCCTGGGCTAAGGAATGGGACAGGGATCCAGAACTCCAACAAGGGAAGAGGGTGATTCATATGACAAAGACCAGGTGCTCTGTAATTACATGTTTGTCTTGCCATACAGGTAGGTTTCTCTGACAGAAAGGTTATACCTGGTAAAAACCCTAATTCTGGTAAGACTCCAATTTTCATTCTTCTAGGTAGTTAAGGGAGTGCAAACATTTCTCTTGAATATGGAGGGCTTCCACTTGGGCAGGACTGTTCTGGAGACCTAGGGGAGGCCTGGCCTTCAAGTTCACATTCAAGCAGTAAGAATTCTCAGTAGTTAAAATTAAATCCAGTACTCATGTGTGCCAAGACCCACACCTCGCAGTAGAACTGAGCAATAGGCTAGTACCGTAGGTATAACACCCATTTCACATGTGAATAATCTGGGGCAGAAAAGGCTGAGTATTTTAGTGGCAAATGTCATGTAACATATACACACTTTGATTTTCACTGTTGCACATCTGAAACTTTTTTAAAATGTTAATTTATTACCCAAATAACCTAAAAATGTTTAAATTTTAGAACTCCTTTTTTATTTAATAAAAAATGAAATATTTATAAAGCATTATATAAATATAAAATTAATAAATTTACTATTGCATCCAAATAAACTTTTTGACAGTTTTGAAGCATTCTCTTAAATAGGAAAATGTCTGCATCACCAGAACACAATGCCTTTAACATTGCACTAGCAAATTAATCTTTGTTGAATTTTAAAAAAATCTTCCCTAGCCATAAAATGAACTACAAAATGGTCAGTAATTAAAAGTTTAAGAATTTATTGTGTTGTTCCATGAGATCATGAATCACTTATAGTTACTCAAAAAGTATAAAACTATTGTAGTTTGGTTTGGCTGTCAACTGAAATTCTCAGAATAAAGTTTCTTAAAGACGAAAAAAAAAAAAAAAGTTGAGTAATATGCCCAAGATCAAACAGCAACCAACTGGCAAGAATGAAGTTAGAGGCCCTGGTGGCGAAATGGGTTAGGACATAGCACTGCAAGCTGGCCGCGGCTGCTTCATGTGAGTTCGATCCCTGGCCTGGAGGTGACCCACATGGCAGAGCAGACCTCTCCTGACCCGCCTGCTGCTCCCCTCAGCAGTGTACTTCGTTGATCTGTCTGTTTTGCTCCCACTCTGTCTGTGGTGAAGCCTCTCACCACCCCTGCACCTCTGGCCTGTACCCTAGTTCTGTATGCACAAATAAATAAATCTTAAAAAAAAAAAGATGAATGAAGTTACAGGCTGAGTCTGAGGCCCATGTGGACACCCAGCTACAGTGTTAACATATGCCCCCTGGCTGCAAGGACAGACTTTTCTGAAGGCCTCACAGAGCAAAGTCAGCACCCCAGGGCACCCACAACGGTGTTTGCTGAATGAATGGGTGCTGTGGGGCCAGGATGTTCTCTCTTCTACTGGGGGTAGGCAGGAAGGCAGCTGCTGGATGACCAGGCCTGGAGCATCCCACATGGCAAGTCCTTTTAAACTCCTGGTTGAGCAGTCTTTTCCAAGCCCCGCACCAATGAAAGACAGTCGGCACAATAGAAGGTGTGTAAAAACATGCACACAATTTCTGAATTAGTATTTAAAAACATAAAAGAATAAAAAGTTCATTATGACCAACCAGGGCAGCAGACAAACGGCAAGAGGATCTTTCTAGATACTCCAGCTAGGGTGGGTGCAGGAGCCCACACTATGGCCCTTTTCTCAGTTCCAGACATCTATTTGTCCTGGACCATTCAGCCTTGACCAAGCTTCTTAAGGAGCTAAGAATTTTCTCTGACCCAGGTCACAGGCCTGGGCACTGGAGTGAACAGTATTATTACTCTTAATGAAAGCTAGCTGCTGGCTTTGGATTAAAAAAGAAAGTAAAGGAAGGTAGGGAAACACCCTCAGCCACCCCAGCGGGCTGGCTGTGGTCTGGTGTGTAACATATTCCTCAGCACCTGCAGGAACTGGCCTGGCTGGGCCCTACTCCCTCCTTCTGTGACCTGGAGCCATGGGTGACCCCAAAAAAGAAGCAAACTTGGTGTTGGGAGTGATCAAGTGCAGAGATTTACTGAGAGACTGGATAAGGGCAGTAATAAATTAGGCCTCACATCCAATCAAATGGGCCTTGTATCCAATCAACTGGGCCTTGCATCCTGGATGGGACTAGCTGAAGGTGATAATGAACTGGGCCTCACAGCAAGGACACAGCCATGAGTCACCCCTTTGAAATCTGGCTTAGGACCTATATAGGAGACCCTTCTCCCCATAGGGCTGGCAGTAGCTTCGGACCCCACTCTAGGGGCTCTGTCTCAGCTGCTGTCCCCGAGCAATAAACTGCTTGCTCAGCCTTTCTGCCTCACACCTTCCTTTCTTGCAGCTGGTCGCAGTTGGGACAAAACACTTGGGGGCCCCAAAGTCCCTACAGAGCATCTCATCACTTGCCACCACCATCTGCACTGGGATCTGGGTGCTGTTCCCAAGGAAGTTTCAGACTTGAGCTAAGTCAGTCTCCCCATGGGCCTTAATTTCCTCATCTGTGAAATGGGTACAGGAGCTGGTGAAGTGAACCTGTGGGATAGCACTGCTGGAAAACAGAACCTTCCAGAGGCTCTGGAAGAATCGGCGGGGGGTGGTGGACACCCTCAGCCTCAAGCTCCCCAAGAGTCAGCAGCCTTCTAGCAACTTGAGCTGAGTTGTCATATCAGGTCCCCATATCCCGGTGGTGATTCTAGCTTCAGGAAATCCAGGAAGAGAGAAAAGAATCTGGGAGAGAAAGACAGAAGTCATGGGGTGAGGGGTGTGCAAGAAGGAAGAGGCAGGAACGGGGTACAGCAGGAACGGCCGCTGAGGGGAGACTCTGGGCAGGGCTGGGGTCCGAGGCTGCCGGAGCGGCTGGAGGCGCGAAGGGAAGGCCGCCCGGAACGCGCGCCAGACCCAGAGCCCCGGGCCAGGCCCGCGCCAGACGTCCG